CTCTTGCAGCTTTTCTAACAGAGTAAGAAGTATAGAAACAGTTAGCGGGGATATGAATTCTCCATCGTTCAGTTCCCGCCACCCGAAAGATGCGCTACTGGTTTTAAGTATACCTGGACTCTCAGCCTGTTCGGTTAAGCCTGGCTCAATGTCGTGACCCGCGCCGGTCTCATCAAGAATACTTGTCTCAACATCTACAGGCTCTTCGAGACTGATTCCCAGAGTTGGTTCCGAAAAGTCAATATCAGGGGAAGAAGCGTCAAAGATAAAGCCGCTTGCAAAATCTTCTTCTGCGAAGTACGAAATTGTTTAAGTCCAAAAGCTCAACATATACCGGAAGAAACTATACGAAAAAATACTCACCCCTTTCAGCCATCAATCCTTGAGTCGCCGTGAGTCACCGGTCCCATTTCAGGGTTGCTCCGTCGCTTAGAAGCCAGCTTCTTTTGTTTAGCCGGACGTTCCCCCTATGGATCAACAGTCTTCTCCGCGAAAAATTTAGAACGCAATTCGTGCCTCGGAGAAACCTGAGTTGCGGGTCGAGACCGCGTCCGATGAATAAGGCTGGACTCCTCTCTCTCTTCTTCTTCAGAAGCTGCACCTGAGATTTCAACCGACATCTTATTAGGATAAGTGAAAAAGACTTGCATCTTTGGCTTCTTTAGAGGAGGCGAAGGTTTGGACAATTGAAAGCGGCGAGTTCTTTCAGCAATTGCTGCATCTTTGGGATTTCTAACACACCTGTTTCCGGCTCCTCTTCTCCACCATCGCCACCAATCTCTACACCACCCCCAACATGAGGTTCCGTAGTAGGCTCCCTCTGCGTTGAATGACTAGAAGGACCCACTGGTTCCCTCCTTCTCCTCTTTTCGAGCTCGGATTCATGGACCATTCGAGTTGCAACCCGAGAAGCTTCTTCATCGGTTGACTCGGTGACCGGTTGAACCGGTACGTGTTCATTGGCCGCCAAGAGCCACCGGCACTGTAGAAAAGTTAGCTCCAACTGGTGCGTGTAGTCCTCTGACCGATTCGTGTAGCGGTATTGGATGCGCGTAGGGGATTTGTGAACAGTCAGTTATCCGGTGATATGAGCGTTGGCTCTGTGTGAGATGTGACCAGTGACCTGTTAATTCCATCTAGTGTATGACTCTGTACTTGGATGATTATTTTGATCGCTAGCTGCATGATCGACTTGTTACTTGGTTGATTTCCTGGGATTTATTATGATTATTCTACTCTAGTAGTAACTTATATTTAGATCATTAGTATTTCAGTTGCATGTTTCCATTGTTATTACCATTATTTGCATTGGTTGCACGACCGTTCTATTCTTCCTTTCGGGATCTTGCCGTGCGCCACGCACCTGACGTACACCTGTTTTCTCTGGTGTACGTCAGACTTAGAAGAAGAACATGTTCAGCTTGGAGACGCGCCAGAGCCGAGTATTCTCAGCAGGAGTGTCATGTAGACGAAGCAGAAGAAGAGTTGAAGCTCAGTTATTCCTTTCAGTTTATTTTCGTAGCATTTCCTTTTCCGCCTGATCATTGTATTTTATATTCTCAAGTATTTCATTCAGATAGTTTGTATAAGGGCATGTTTGGCCCGAATATTATGTCTGGATGATCATTTCAGTTGTGATATGTATCTTTTGGTTCTGAGTTGTTTATTATATTCTCATTACTGTGATCGGGGACCTGTGCTTTCGTTTGTATTTCTTGACGCTTAGCGTATTAGATTGAGAAGACGGGGTCTAGCACTTATCTCTTCTCAGTTTAATATGTCGCGGGCTTGCTCGCGTCCCGATTCCCTGGTATTTTGGGAAGCGGGGCGTGACATTAGATCTGGATCTGGTTGATGGAAAATTAGGCAGAGCTTCGCCTTCACCGGGGGAATGTTTAATTTGAAGCGCTGAAATCGACCAAGCGAAATCAGGGCTCTTCTCGAGATTAAGATCAAGCCTAATCTCAAGGGACGGACGGACGAGATTTAGATCCTTCGAATAGCTCCTTCTTTATGCCGAAGTTCTTCAGGATATGATTTGCCATCGCTGAAATTCGTGCTCCTTGACTCCTCAATCCAGCAGCACCTCCCCGTCTTGATAATAACTCCGCCCCGAGAAATGAGCAACCGAGCTCGTATTTATAAGCTTCGGAAGCGGTTATTTGGGATAAGAATGAATGATCCCTCCTTATCTTCAGTTAATAACTGATTAACAATGTTTGGGGATGATATCAGATCAGTTGGGATGCTCAGGAACCAACAAATCCTGAGAAAACCCCGACCCGCACTGGTGCGGGTCGGTTTCGGCCGACCCGCGCTGGTGCGGGTCGGTTTCGGCTGTCCCGCACCGGCGCGGGTTCCGTAGCTTGGCACTTTCTTCTGGTTTTTTGACTCTTCCGGGACTTGTATTTTTCATCGTTTTGCGTGTTTGACCGTCTTGTTGACTTGCATGCTTCGTTACGGGATTGACTATCGAAATCGCGTTGGTTGATATACGCGCGTGTTGATTGATGCACTCGTGTTGACCGACACGCGCGAACTGATTGTCGGACGCGCGTTGATTGATGCGCGCGAGCTTATTGACGCGCGCGTGTTAACCGACGCGTGCGAGCTGATTGATAAGCGTGCAGGCCACTCGGTTTGCTGTTTTGCTTCAGGCGCTTGTCAACGTTAGATAATCCTCTTAGATTCAGATAACGACGTTCATCGTCTTCTCTCCGTCTCAAGCTGTGTGCGGACACCCATAGGCATTTTTAGACGCCTACAGGGGAGGTAAGGGGTTGCAAATCTAAAAAGTATGATAGATTGAAGGCATATATGAAAACACAATCTCTTAATCTTTTGCTTAAACTAATGATAAATTTATTTTTTCAACCAGATAGGCCTACTTGTTGTCATATTTGTGAATACTTTTTATGCTCAATTATCATCGGCGTTAGTTTTTAGGATAGAGTAGTAAATTAGTGTTAGTTTTTTTTATCAATATAATATTTTACTATTTTCTTTTTATAGTCTTTCTTTGAACTTTTGTTAGATAGTCAATTACCCACCTTATTTGCCACATGAATATAAAAGAAGCCTTTTTCATCTATTCCATGTTTTTCAAGAGCTCTCTGTTGTAAAAACCTACACAAAGACTCTCCTCATCAACTATGACAGTAAATAAAATAAATTAATTTTATAATGTAAATTTTTTTTCCAAATATTCTTAGACATTAATACCTCCGTAGATGTTTTTAAAGATGCTTCCCCTAAAACTTTTTAGATTTTAAAGTTGAAAGGAAAAAAAACAGAGAAAAAAAAATAAATTTTGGATAAAATTAAAAAAAAAAAAAACATGATAGGATTTCATATGAATGTCCATCTAGACCGCTGAAGAACAAAACTCCAATATATATAGTACTAAATGGCTGCACTAACGATCATAAATGAGGGAGGTTTTATTTATTTATTTATTTTTCGAGCTTTTCGACAAGGTGATTTCTTGGAAAACAAAGTTTAAAGCGGGGTTGCTTCTAATATTCCCTTAAATTAATTCGGATCTGTAAGTTCCAACACTATCCAATAGGACTAAGCCCGAACCCGAAACAATCTGGAATGGATATTCTAGAGTGGGCTTCCTTTAGCCCAATTACCAGTCCTGATTAGTTAAAACCAAACTAATCAATTTAATTGCGAAAAGGAAATGCTTTAATCAAAGGTCTCTGGGAGCTCGAGCACAGTGCTGATTTCTTCAATGGAAGAATGCGAGGTTGGAAGAGAGATCGATCTGAAGGCGGCAGGGGCGGAGCTGCTTCCAGATGGACGGCGAGGATTGCATCTCAAGGGATGGAAGATCGAGTCCTTCAATCGCCCTATTCTCACTTCCCTCGCCATTCAAGTACGAGCCCCCGCACCACAAAAACCCTGAGCTTCCGAAAATTGCTTCTTTTCAAAAAATTTCGTCAATTTATTGCTTTGATTCCTGTTGATGTGAAAAGTTTGAATATTTTTGCGAGATTACACTTATGGAGTAAGAAACCCTAAAGAAAAAAATAAGGTTAAATTTCACAAAGTGACGAACTAATCAACTAGTTGCTTGGTTGACTTCTAATTTTTACAATTTTCAGGTTTAATTATAGTTTTAAGTGCTTTTTCTGTCAGTTTATTTTGGACTTATATTGGGAATTAGTTCGGTTGAAGTTACAATTTAAACACTATTTGGAGCTCAAAAAGGTTGCAACTGCAAACTACACCAAATCTGTGTTAAGTTGTCAGTCGCAACTAAAAACCTTTTTGCAGCTGCATTGATCAATTACAATGAAACAAACAGCTGTAACTGACCCAAAATGTCCTGGTTGCATGCATAGTTAAAACCTCTCCGATTATGATTTACCTACACGTTAGTGTAAGTTGGCGCATAATTTGCATATGAGATATTTTCGACTATGTAGCACGGACACGGATTCGACACAACCATCCGACACACCGACATGAGGCAAATCCTAAAAAATACATAGGATACGTGTGTTCGACACGTGTGTCCGACACGGACACGACACGACACAGCTTCATGTTATGCGTGTCCGTGCTTCATAGATTTTCGACATGTTTACCCTTATTTACTTCATATGACTACTCTCTCACCTTCTCCCTTCTTAATTATTAGGGGTATATTAGATTTTCAATGATGCCTTTGACGCTGTTCGCGTAATTTACTAATACTATGTGATATTTTCTGTAGATTTAAAAATTTGTGATATTTTTCTCCAACAAAAGGTAACTTATGGGCAAGGTTATCAATTGCGGATAGCGTCGCGTAGCAGTAAGGCACCGCTGAGGCTATTTGGGGCTTTAGCGGCAAAATAGCAACAAAAAGCGCAAATTAAAATAACGGTCCAATTGAAATATGTATAATTATATATTTAAAAAATAAAAAAAATTAAAGAAAAATCTAAAAATTCCACAAATGCTTGTTTAATGATTTGTAAAGATCCTAAACATGAAATAGGCGTGTAAGTAACAATCACATAATATTAAAAAAAGTATTGTACATAATAAAAAAGCGTACCTGTTAATAAAAAACTGTCATTTTTCCCATTCTTTCAACCTTCCAAGTCTTTAAAAGTAAAATTCTCAACAATAGAAATGCATTGATTAGTAGCAACATAATTGTATTAATTATTTAAAACTTGACATAAAAATGAAATATTCAAGCGTAAATAACAATCTAAAGATCCTAAGCAAGATAATGTCATAATAGATAATAACAATCCAAAGATCCTAAGCAAGCTGTAAATATCAAACTCCAAATACATGTCCAAACCTAAACTCAAAAGTCAAAAAGTCCAAGCAAAATAAAAGCCATAAGTCTCAAAATTAAACTTTGAAATCAAGCAATGACTCATCATCACTTATCATTCCTCGTCATCATTAGCTGTGCCAAGAAGCAAAATGTCATCTCTCAAAGCATCATTGTGACAATCATCATCGTCAAGCTGGATATCCTCCTCATCTGAGTCATAGTCCTCATGAGTCAGAGTCCTCAACAACTCCCTCCTCATTCTTCGTATCCACCACCTCGCAGACTCTTGAACTAGAAGCCGTATTTGCCCTCATTGTAGTCCTCATCGGCTGCAAGAATTCATCTGCACTAGCTGCTTCGGAGACAACTCTAAGTGGAATGTCAATCCTTAGATAATAATCCTTTTCCTCTCATAGATATATCCATCCACCACCCCAACCATCTTTAGCAAGGAGGATATCCTTTTTCTTTCCATCCTTGTTGTATCCATTTTGGTTTTGATCCTCAAATTGAATTGTACATAGACCAGGTCGTTCAATCTCTTGCTATCTAGCTTGTTCCTTTTCTTTGTGTGGATCTGCAATTCAATAACATAGAAATATGTCATTTCTCAATGTATCATTTATCATTTAATAACTTCAATCTCATTTTTTTAATATGAACAATTGAATTTGGAAATTGAAACAAGGTAGTGAGTGATCCCTTCAAAACAACTCCAGTTTCCCTCACAATTGGAGGTGCTTCATATCAATCTCAATATCCTAAGCGCCATCATCTGCATGTAATATGTATTTCCACCAAATGTGTCCCACAATGAGTTGTATGAAGGTAATAAAAGCAAATTAATCAATTCAAAACTAACAAATAGTAGAATTAATGTACTATTACTCAAAATAACATAACTTAATACCTGGATTACGATTCTCTATAATCCTTTTTGTTACTCTCTATGCTCTTGGCTTTCTATGAATGGAAGCATCACTTTCCTTATACGTCGCCATCTCTGTCGAGTAAATGGTATCAATGGTAGTCTCATCCTAAAGAATAACTCAGCACAATCAAGAACTATTTGCTTAGCCCCTACATTCTTCTTAGCCATCTCATCCTCCGCATAATAGAAAAGAGGATTTAGAAACCATGCCGCTAGATGAAGGGAACTATGAAGCCTATCCTCAACATGCCTCTCCATAATGGATATGATTGGTGCGTAACGCTTTTGTCTTGCAAGCAGCCAGGACTTTCCTCTTCACAATTTGCTGCTTTCCACCAATTAATCCCATTAAGGGACATGTATCTGAATCAACCATGCGAAGAAACTTGAAAAGAGGCGTGAAGGCCTTTAAGCAACTCCTCACATTTTTTAGAAGGTCCTCGAAATCACAGTAACATTTGCTGCTAGAGCTTTCCTCTTTGCACCCCTAACAAACTTCATATTCCAAACTCATCAGAACCGAACATAGTAATAAATGCATCCTTTTTTTCTAGTAAGCTCTCAAATGTGAGGAATGAAGTAGCAAATCTGGTAGTGCTTAGCCTAACAATGTCCTTCCTTGTGCACTTACGTGTAACTGCCAGAGTCCTGGTATGACTGGTATGACTATAGATAAAAATAGTCAATGCTCGTGCCTTCTTAATTATATTCTTGAACTTGGTCAATTTTCAATGTCCTACAAACATGGGATTGGTTGTGTTGCACAAGAAGTCAAAAGATCCTTGGCCTCTCCCTTTTTAGCTTCTTCTTTGAAGTCATGTTTGCTGAATGATTATCGGTGACAACTTGTACAACATAGTCAGCCCCTATCTCCTCGATGCACTAATCAATCCACTGAGAAGTAAAATCTCCTGTATAAAAAGTAGCAGATTCCTTTATCGAGTTGTAGAAAATAACTCTAGCACTAGAATGAACACATATGTTCATAACACATATGTGCTTCTAATCAGTCCATGAATCTATCATCAATGTGTAGCCAGTAGTCTCTCAAAGCTTCTTATGTCGCTCCAAATCCACTGAAGTACGAGTCACTATCTTCTTCAGCAAATGCTTCCTCAATTGATACATTGTCGGTGCCACATAGTCTGGACCAAATTATCCAATAGCTTTAGACATATTACCGAATGAAGGGAGCGTCAATGCATGAAATAGAATCGTTGCTTCATAGGTCCAAAGAGAGACCCATTCGTGGACCAAACCAACTCCTTTCTTCTTTTATGTTTAGCTTCATCGATTGTTGTTTGCTTCATCGTGGATGATGATGTAGGCTCTTCTGGCAAGAATGTTGCATATCGTTGCATAGCTCTAAAAGTACATGTACTCTTCTTTCTGATTCGAGTGATTTCTTTTGTGCTCTCAATTTTCAAATTGGAAACTTGGACTTCCTGTCTACGCTCGACCTCATGTTTGATATTATTTGACTTCTTGCCCTTATTTTGCTCCTTTGTTGCTTTTACCTTGGCTAAAATCTTAGGTGTCACTTTTTTAGATGGTTTCATATTGCTGGGGGTGGTAGTTAAGTGTTCTTTATGGTGGGAAATACAACCAGTGCTTATATGTCCACACAATGTGCATTGGGCCATTCTTATACCATTCTGGATAAATTCTCCAATCCCATCCAATATCATCTGAAGGACACAAATGTGGTGCCTCACCCGAAGCTCGAGCCTTGGTGGCAAGATTTAGCTGGCTGTGGCAGCTACCTAACTCTAGATTCTGAGAACTCATCAGTGGATTAGATTTTCTGTAGAGGACGATCCCATCTAATGATGCTGAAGTTATACCTATGCAATGAACAAATAATAATTGTTAATAACAAAACAAGTTAAGCAAGAGAAATAAAAATATACATATGTAATTGATAAACTAATTTCTAATTTCTATATGATAGTTATTTACTTTTCAATTTAATTGATCAATCCATTTAGTCATACACTCATACGTAGGGTGAAAACATTTAACATCTTAAAATCTAAATTAATTTAATTAAATTTTGATCAAATAGTTTCTAATTTGGTTACTAACTTACTAATTATTATTTACAAATTGTTCACTGCATATACAATTAATCAATTATATACGTACATATATATACAATAAAAATTTAGAATATTCTAAAATCTCAATGCATTGACTCCTTAAACAATAAAAAATTTAGAATATTCTAAAAATCTCAATGCACCGAGTCTTTAAACAATTTCAAATAATTTGTAATGTATATAAAGATTAAAGAACAAACAAGTTAAAGAAGAAATCTTTATTAATGATTAATTTTGAGAAATTACCTTAGTCTCTGTTTCAGGCCGAGCCTAATAGAGAATCTTGATAATGAGGAAGTCCAACAATGAGAGGGACCACTAGAGAATGGTGGAGTTGGTGGAGGGAGCACTGGAGATGGTGGAGTTAGTGAAGGGAGCTTCGGAGATGGTGGAAGAAGCGCTGCAGAAGGTGGAAGAGCACTGGAGATGGAGCTGGTGGAGGACGGGAGGGAGCTTCGTGGAGGGAGCTTCGGGGATGAGGAAGGGGTAGCATGGGGGAGGGGACACGAGAGAGAGAGATCAAATCGGGTCATGTCTGGGTTTAAAGCGGTAGGGTATCAAATAACCTAGCTCATTTAAAAGCGATAGTTAGCGGTTAATAGCACTTTTTAGCGCTATTAACCGCATTGAGCTGCTATTGACCGCATTGAGCTGCTATTACACGCTTTTATTGCAATTATGAGCAAATAGCGATTCACCGCTATTTGCTACCGAAGTCATTGATATCCTTGCGGATGACTTCACAAACGCTATTCTCCTTGTGATTGCGTCGCGTTGGGCCTTATTTACAACAGTGCTCATGGGTAGTTTTTTTAGAAGAACCCTAATAAGCTTATGGAAGGTTATGAAATTTACGCTAGAATTAAGCTAAACCAGTAGAATTTAAGATTAACTACGAGAACGAGGTGGAGTTTGTCTTAAGAGCTAACGCCTTGATTACATCCTTGTGTTTTTCTTTCAGGTGGGAAGAAAATCTAGGGACTTCACACTTGCCTGAGATGGTTTTTGGAGAAAGTTCTTTATGTCTTTTACATGTCAATAGTGGTATTAAGATACACTTCAATGCATTTGATGCTCTAAAGGGGTGGAAGCAGGAAGCGTTGCCACCGGTCGAAGTCCCTGCAGCAGCAAAATGGAAGGTCAGAAGGTAAATTGTGTAATTCCTTCTTTTACTAACAAATTGCTTAAATTAGATTTAGTTGCATTGCTCAGTTTGTCCATAGAAAACATATGTCTGAGGTAGATATTCTTACATTGTTACTTCTCCAGATTTTCAATATAGCTTACCCGAATTTCTGCATGCTATTCTTAGAACAGAGCTAATTATGTCATCACAAGGGTCGTGTTTCCCTCATTTATGAGGTTTTGACATTAGTGTGTCCTTGAAGAGTTGGTGACAAATTTTCTCCATTATTATTTATGTAATGTCCTAGTCACTAACAATGAGATATCTTATTTATGTTTTTGCTCTTTTCAGCAAACCGTTCCAGCAAGTGATACTTGATTATGACTATACATTCACAACACCATATAGTGGCAGTGAGGCAATTGAACCAAATGAAGCAAAGGTTTGAACCTTCTCTGCTAATTTTTTTTAACTATATACCGAGTATTTCAAGTTGAAATTGATGATCACTTGTTGAGTATTAAAAACCTTGGAAATGGTATGGTAAGATATAAATCCTGCTGAGCCTTACAAATTTGTTTGCTAAGATATAATAGAAAAATCTTTTTTTATTCTCGGTAGCTTTGAGTGTATTAATCAAAAGCCTGCATGTTGATACAATCAAATGTTATTTTTTTGCTCATCAAAGCTACCTTGCATTGTTGATTCATCTTATTTGAAATATTTCAATAGGACCATAAATTTAGCATGTTGGCTCTTCTGCATAAAATTTTGAAATAATGTAAAATGATATTGTATCAGATCAAACAAAGAATAATACAATGGATACTCAATGAAGAATGTCAGGTTTTTGTATACCACCGCCTTATGCCATTCAATTTCTGTTTATGTTTCATCCGTTAGTGAGATACACTAAGGTTTTAGGTCCCTAGGAATAGTGGGAAAGAGATGAACAGTTGTTGAACTTACAAGTATTTTAACTATATAAATTAAGAAAAAATATATAAAGTTACACCATCACAGTATACTATCATGAAGATTTCTCTGTAGGCTTCATTTTTTATCTCCTTGGTTTCAGGAGTCTTTTGCCTCTAAGATAATTGATGTTTTCATGTAAGAAAAAACATTGCTAAAAGCTAACATTGGCCTGCCTGTTGCTCACAAAATTGCATCTGAAAAATTATGTTACATGATTGGTGGATTCTAAGCTTCCAAATATTGAATTGCTCCATAGAGTTTGCATATCATCTTACTGTTCTCTCAATAATCCGCAGTCTGTCTTTTTATTACTTGGAGATTGGGGACTTGGAGATAGGGGATGGACAATGGCAATAGTTCTTCCAAAAATACCCTTCACTTGCACATGTTGACACATTCAAGACCTCATCCTTCCAACAGCATATAATTTAGATTTTGTGCTATAATTGTTCCATGAGTCTATTTAAAAAAACCAATGCAATTCTCATTCTCTGACACAAACAAACTTATTGACACAAGAGAGTGAGAGACAAAGATGAAGAGAGTCCTATGTCTTGCATTTTGCTTGTTGACATTCATGGTGAGTTTGGATACCTTTTTTTTAAGAGGGGAGAGGAGTTGGGGAGGTTACAATGTTGACCATCCTAAAATTGTGTTTGTTTATATATTTTTTAGTGAGTGAGGGGAAGGATTGGGAGGGTTAAAAAGAAGCAAATTTCCTCACTTTCTTAACCCTCCTGAACTGGGAGGGGAGGGATTAGATTTTAAGTGAATTGCTCTATTCTTGTCCTATTTTCTACTCTAAACAAAAACAAATTAGTTCCGTCACTCTCCCTCCATCTATATTTCCTAGTTGTCTAGCCAAACACAATTAGTTGCATCACACTCTCTTCCTTTCCTTTTTCTGCCCTTGAGTTTAATTCAATCATCTCCCTCCCCTACCCTCTTCTCTATCCAAACTGACCAACCGATGATTAGATCTTGTGCTCACTTTGCTCATGAATATTTTCAGAAATCAAATGCATATTTCCTAGCAATTTATTCTACTTGAAAGATTCAAAATACTTAGCTATGGGAGAGATAATGTTGAAAAATATTGTTTTCTTCTTGGCAAGGTTTTAAATGTCGGATGTTGGGGACAATGTTAGACGCCTAAAATCCATGCGAATTGTGGAAATCAAGAAAATATCGGTAATTTGTAGTAAATATCGCATTGTCATATCAGATAGTGTGCATATATAATATAATGTCCTAAACGCAATCTACACGTAATAAAATCTAGTCTAAATATACAAAATGTAAATAACATATGATATTTAGGATCACTAACCGATTCTAGTAACTTGCTTCTTGATCGCAAGAGAAAGAGAGCAAGAGGAGAGGGGTGGGGGGTAGGGGGAAGGATGGAGAGAGGCCTTATTATCCTTCATCATCAAAATCTCAATCCAGCTTCAAGATTTGAATTTGAACGCTAAGTTGATTACGCCCTGTGAAGGAAGCAGCGGAGGAGTGGAGCAATTTATTTTTGTGGTATGATTTTACCCTATACTTGGTTATCAGGTTCTTTTAATTGGGAATGTAACAATTGGATAATTAGGTTTGGCTCTTTGGGTTTTGAGTTCTAAACCAAAGTTAGAAAGACTAAGGTCTTAAAAATCAGCATATCGGCAGATATTTAGAGGCCGACATACTGGCTGCTATGTCCGAAATATCCCAATATTTATCCTCAAAACGCCATACAACTTTGGAAGCATGATATCATGGCGTTGGAGCTCCCAAACTGACATGTTGGCTGCCATTTAAAACCTTGCTTCCAGGTGCAAAGTTTTTAGGGAATTTGATCAAGGGAGATCTTTGAAAATTTGATCTTGAGTTTGTACCAATCAATACATGGTATCTGAGAGTAGTGTACTTTTATTATTTTTGAGTCAAATTTGTATCTTGGAATGCTAACATTGGAAAAATCGACATCTATATTGGAACGCTAACATTTTTGAGTCAAATTTGTATATTGGAACACTAACATTGGCAAAATCGACATCTATCAAAAGCTTTTCTTAGTTCCTATAACTGTCTGCTGCACTCCATATTCTCTTTTCTAGTTGAATAATATTGAAACTAGATTGCTACTTGTAGACATCATCATGATGGCCTTCATGGAGGCTTTCTCAACAGACTGATCATGGAGGCTTTCTCGAAAGACTTTGCTTTTATCTCTATAGTTTTTCAAATCTTTTGCCTGATAATTGTCTGTGAGAAATGTTTATTTTTATAGAGAAGATCATCAAAGTTATACTTGCTATCCTTTGCCCCAAGCTAATATGACGTCTGTCACTCTTATATTGAGTCTAGAAGTTTATACTGCATGATTGGTTGCTTTCTACATTTTGAACTATATAAATTAATTCAGTACAAGTTTCTGCATTAAAACATGTGAGGGGATGTGACACTAATTCATGCCTACAGAAGAATTGAACAAGTTTTAATAGGACAGCCTGGGAATACATTATTGATTGTCCGTATAGGGTTTTAAATGCCTGTTCAAGGTATGTACGAGCCAAAAGTAACAATAGCCTAAAATTTTGACTAGCTGACAAGGTAGGTTGACCTACTTCAATTGTCTATGCAATTATACTCCTGCTACGAAGTAGCAACCATCAATATTTTCCTAAATCGGATGGAGAGTCTGGAATACAAGGTTATATATATAATGCCCAAGAAATGGCTAATTTTCATGAAGAAAATTAGAAAAAGTTCCATCTCTATGAAACAGTGTAAATTATTCTGTTATTTGTGTAACTTAACATTATATTGCATAATTAAACATGATGAGGTTGATTCTATGAATTGATTCTATATCATGTTTTAATACCTCTAAACGTGCAGATAATATCAGAAAATGAATGCCATCTCATTTGGAAGGACTGTGATGAACAAATTGATTTGGCTGTGCTATCAGCAAAGGAACCTATACTTTTTTATGATGAGGTTAATTACATTACTAACCTATGGAAGAGGATTTTGTTTTGTTTTCTCCTTCTGTTGTGTTGACTGTTACTTGGTTCACCAATATTGTACCTTTAGGTGATTTTGTACGAGGATGAGTTGGCTGATAATGGAATATCACTCCTAACTGTAAAAGTTGTAAGTCCAGCTTTAAAAAAAATTAAATTATTCGTGAGTTTGTAGGAGAAGATTCACTAATGATGTTTGTCTCCACCATGATATTATTGCAGAGGGTGATGCCAAGTTGTTGGTTTGTTCTACTTCGTTATTGGGTAAGCTTATATATGTAGCTTTACGTGCTTATGTCCCTGTCCTCATTTCTACTATTCTACTTTGTTTATGTTTCACATAATTACGTTTCTACCCGAAGTATGATCTTTTGCCATTTATTTCTTGGTTTTTTGAAATTATTTGATTTGATTTTCACTTCATTTGTTTTCAATGTGAAGTCACATTATCAACCATGCAACACTGTAAACTTTTTGCTGCAGCTAAGGGTAGATGGAGTACTGATGAGGCTAAGGGACACTCGAATATATTGCAAGTTTAGTGACGACAATGGTAAACCTGTTATCTTACGTGAGAACTGTTGGAGAGAAGCAACCATCGAGAGTTTATCCAATGTAAGTGCACACATGGCCTTTGACAAAGATTGGTATTTCATTCTACATATTTGGTTGAGTTAGTGTACCATATTATTCAAGTAATCCTAATATTTCCTTTTGCTCTCTGTCTTCTTCGAAATGACTGATTATACGTCTGCATAGGAGTGCATGGTGCAAGAAATGTTCAAATATTATCTCTAGTGAAGGGGTTGTTTATTTCCCTGCAAGTGCAGGAGTCATAAGTGTAGTTGCATATAGCTGGTATATTTTGGGTTAGTTGTAGCTGTCTGTTTCAATTGATAAATGTAGGTGCAATTACAGTTGCAGAAAGATCTCTATCTGCAGTTGACAACTAAGAGAGATATGGACATAAGTTAGTTTCACAAGTCTTTTTGTAGCCGACCCCTAACAGAAGTCCAAAAATCAGGTAACTCTAAAGGAAACACCTACACCTGCAGTTGCAGTTACAAAATGCAAAATTTTGAAGCTGAACCACATACAAGTACAATTGCATGCAGGATCAGGAAGAACAACTGCTGTCACATGCAACAAGCAAGCAACGAACCCAAGAGTCCCTTAACTTGTTTGTATCAAATTATTATATGAAAAGAAAGAAGAAATTTGCAAAATAAACCTATTTTGCTAAATATTTAGCAAAACAGACCGTTTTGCTAAATATGTTGGCCAAAAAGAGGTCGATTTTGCTAAACAGACCATTCGAAACATACGGGATTAGTAGTCCCGTATGTTTCGAATGGTCTGTTTAGCAAAATCGACCTCTTTTTGGCCACCTGTTGGCCAAAAAGAGGTCTATTTTGTAAATTTTTCCGAAAAGAAATTATTATATGAAAAGGGTAATAAAAGAATTAGTGTCATAGCCTCTACCATAAGTACAAACAAAATTGATGCAAAATCTCTGCTGGAGTTGAAATATTTTTGTGTAGAAAAAGTATAACATAATTTCTCTATTGGGAAAGGAATTTTTTATCCTTTATCATATGCTATTAAAAATTTCTATTTCTTGTTTTGTTTTACATATGCATGTTTCTTCAAATACATTGATGTATCAGCAAAACCTGACCTTTGCAAACATCAAAATGTTTTATGATTTAGAACATTGATAATTAGAAAAAGATATCTCTTGATTTGCTATTAAATATATCAATTGAAGTGTGTAGTAAGACCCATGTTTTATAAGGGTGTTACGTCAATGAAACTGGATACTTTGTTCTACCAGGGTATTAATTCATAAAAAACTGAAGCTTTTAAACAAAAAACATCAAAATGTATATTTGATTTGTACCAAGTCTAAAGTATTTTAATAACCAATAATTTTCTTATTTACAATATTCTGTTAAACATTTCACCCAATCTATTTTTTTCCTCAAGTGTGTGGTAAGAGTTCAGTTTCACCACGGTGTTATATCAATAACACCTGATACGTAACCGAAGGTTTTATGATTCAGAACAGAGCTAAAATAATTCAGTTATTGGAGAAATATATCTTTTCCTTATGGTTCACTGTATCAAGAAAACGCGATAGTTGTAAACATTGAAATATTTTATGTTTCAGAACAAGTCTAAAAATATATCAGTTATTGGAGAAAGATATCTTTTCTCCACGATGTGTTGTCAAACAGTTTTTTTTCAAAGTACGATTTAAAACTCTTGTTTTGGTGTCCTATCAGCAAATGATTCAGAACTATTCTAGAATATTCCGACCATTGGAAAAAGTTATCTTTTATTCAGAATGTTATGTTAAATAAATATATTTGAGACCATTGTTTAAGCAGTATGATATATCAACATAAGATGATACTTGTGAAATATTGAGAGTTACTCTGGACTGTTTTTATCAACCGCTGACATAATGATGCATACACAGTCAAAGGAACATGTCGGATTCCACTCTTGTTCTTTTGCTCTGTCTTTTTTTCCCTTTGTGATTTATTGTTAATCGCATGATCATGAATAATTTATTCTATATATGTCTTATCTGTATGCAGAAAGGTTTTCCTTCCAATATTGCAGTCTATGGCAATCCAGACCAGATTTGTCAGAGGCTCCCCATAATCAAGCTCAAGACCCAGAAGCTCGACATCTCTTGATAAGCTGTAACTGAGAATTATCTGTAAATTATCATACTGGGATGGACCAGACGCTTGTAAATTGTAATATCCTCCTTGTTTATTTCACACAGCTCATTTCAAGAGCGCCTTTTTATTATTGCTCAATGCTCATCTTGCATGGTGATTATTTTTAATGATATCCATGTAAGCATACAGACAAATGATGCTGCGATTTGTTGCGATGAATGAGTGATAAATAGTCTTTCTGGTTTTCTTCATGTACCGTGTGTTGCCTTCGCCTTTTGCCCATTTTAGTAGTTATGTTGACTGCTTGTGTTTGTGACTATAAAACCATTTTAAATGGAAGATAACTTCTTATGATGAGATTGTCGTTATATTTTTCTTGTAAGTATTCACAATACTTCTTGTTGTCAATTTGAGTATATACGTGTAAAATGCTTTAAACAGTGCTACAGTATTCAGACTTAATTAGAAAATTGAATGGACGGTCAAAGGGAGGATTACATGTTGAGATGTGTAAGGAAATATCTGATGCAAATTGACTGAAGTCTATTCGAGTATTATAGTTACTTGAAAATTTTGTAATACAAGGATCCATAGCTAGTGTGGTTTTACATTAATTTTCTTATATAGCTCTTACAATGACTAATTATGTTTAATGTGGTTATCAGACTCCCTTTGCTAAATATGGTTACCTATGTTCTCTGTATCTGCTATGTTTTTACCCATACTGCGAAGGGAAAAGGTGCCCTCTTTTAGTCTGTTTATCTGAAACTATATTTTTCAGGTGTTAACATATTTTGTTCCGTATATTTTTCCAGGATGGAGGGTATGGTAAGTGAATCACATTTTAGATCAAATCAGAACCAAAGCGACAAATGAGGCGAGAGGGAGCTACGAGAGAGAAAAGAGTCCTGGCTTATACTCTTCCTCAACAATTACAGAATTCAATCAATTTAGACCAACAATTATGGAGAGAGAAGGCATTTTCGTAGTTTGATTCAATGAGTATTGATGGTTCTGATCCTTCTGTTTCTCATTCAAGACAGTTGAATGCAACACCATGAAGAGGAAAAAGCTTGATCAGGTGCCTCTGGAGGAGGATAATTTTTATTATGACCAGCGATCGACCAGCTTCAGTGTTTTATGCTTGTTTCTCTGCGATGTCTGGTGCTAGTGATTTTCTAGTATGTATTCAACTGCGTGTTGTAATATTCTGATTTAGCATCTTTTATATTATAGCGTTGGACATTGATTAAAAAAAAAATTTTAAATGTTTTATATATTGCCTTTTTTTGCTCTTTCTAGGCACCAGGATATGTTCTAATGTCATAGAATTAGATGCTTGAAGACTTCAAATTTTATGCTTTCTGTTAGATTCATGGTAGAGCTACTCAACTATGAGAGTTAGAACATGTGGTTGATATGTATACTCTATGTGCTTTTAATAAGGGAAAACAAATCCTCATAATTCTTGTAAGTTATCATTTTGGGACAATTTTTTACCGATCCAGGAATTCAAGTACGAAATATATTTGGACATGTATAATGAAAGATTTATAATGTAGAGAAACAGAAAGTTTTAGATGATCTGGTTTTAATGGACATGAACACAAATTCTGTCAGAACACTCCACATGCTAACATGATATTCTGCGCTACTCAGAATTAGGAGTGACATTTCAGAGATTTTCACAAACTTTTTGCTTACCATTCTGCAATAATTCACATAAATGTAATGACACATTACAACGCACATAACGGCCAACGAGACATATGCAACAACACGCTAAAACACATACTAGGAAGTTATAAAAGCCAACGAGACAACATGACATAATGGCAAAGTCCATATTTTACATGTTGGGTGTCTAAAGAATATCATATTCTTGTATAGGTCTGTCCAAATAGGGCGGGCCGATCTGGCCTAGATTTCTGGGTCCGAAGACAAGCAATATGCCTAGCCTAGGCCCGGACCCGGACCCGGGGTGCCCAAGCCGGGCCCGTGTCCAGGATCAGATTGGCCCAAGTTTTTTTATTTGATATTTTGCAAAACATTGCTAAAAAATTAGGCTAATCTTATTATATTTATATAAATATGATTCCTATAGACTTACATATTAATATATAGCTATATATTATATATAAACATATTATATGTAAGTATATTGTACATACTTATAATTTATAACTTGAGAGAGAGAGAGAGAGAGAGAGAGAGAGAGAGAGAGAGTATCACATAAGTATATATTACTTATCTATAAATATGTATTATATAGTTATACATGTATTTAATACATACTTATATTATACTTATTTAAGTATGGTTATGTACTTCACTTATATGATATACATTTATATATACTACATGCAATATACTTATATATAATTATACTTATGTACTTATATAGTCTATAATATACACATATAAGTATACTCATAACTACATTATATACTTTTACCTAGGCCAGCCTAAAAAGCCTGCCGGCCCGGGCCCGGCCGGGTCGTGGTCCGGCCTCGGCCCGAAAATCCGGTCCTGACCGAGTTTCGGGCAAAAATGGCTATTTTGTGAGGTTATTTTGGTCATTTGCTTAGGGGGCTGGTTCTATAAATAGAGAGGCTTTTTATTTGTTTTCTTCACACCAAAACTCATCTACTTCTCTCTTATACTCTTATACTCTCTTATACTCTTATATTCTCTTATACAATCTTATACTCTCTTATACTTTCTAATCCTTTCATCAAATGGCTTCCGGATCTGATTATGATGAGCAAAACCTATCTCTCGATCTTGAAATGAGTCCTCCTACTGGGTCTACTCCTACCGATGTTAATCTCGAATCCGGTGGTGACGAATATGCACCAAGAGCTCCTAAAAGGTCAAGATCCGATGTGTGGAATTTTTACGAGAAGATCGACGTCACCAAGGACGAATACGGTAGGATCCTCACCCAGAAGGCTAAGTGTGCGTTGTGCGGCAAGATTTTTCAAGCTTATCATAAGAGTGGCACCAACCACCTCAAACGCCATTTAGATAAACACAACAAAGGCCAGACTCCTCAAGGTGATATCCGACAATCTATGATTTCTCAATCCTCCTCTTCTGATAGTCTCGGTAGTTAGAACTATGACGCTGCCAGAGCCAAGAAATGCGTAATCAGGTTTATCATTCTTAAAAACTTCCTTTTAAATTAGTAGAAGATGATGAATTTGAAGATATGTTTAGAGATGGTTTTTATCCTGCATTTAAAAAATTTTCTCGTCAAACCTGTCAATGTGATATTTTAAAATATTATCAGGAGGAACAAGGAAAAATAATTTCTTATTTTAAAATTTTAAACTGTAAATTTTCTTTAACTTCTGATATTTGGACATCTAGAGCACAAATTGGATATTTATGTATCACAGCACACTGGATTGATGAAAATTGGCAAATGTTTAAAAGAGTTATTTCTTTTATTGCAATAGAAGAGTCACATACTAGTATTAATGTTGCAAATTTAATAATTGAAGAACTTATGAAATTAGAAATTTCAGAAAGAATATTTTATCTTTCACTAGATAATGCAAGTAATAACAATGTAGCTGTTGATTTTATTAGATCAACTCTGTCATTACCATGTCATGGTGATCTTTTTCATATTAGGTGTATCTGTCATATTTTAAATTTAATTGTTCAAAGTGTATTTACTAAAATTAAACCCATGATAAAAAAGGTTAGAACAATTGCTTATATGCATAATGCTTCTGAACAAAGACTTAAAAGATGAAAACAATTTTGTAAAAGAAAAAATGTAAAGCCCAGACTAATTCCAAAAGATGTTGACCATAGGTGGAATTCCACATATGCAATGTTAAGTGTAGCAATAGAATATAAAGACATTATAACTGATTTTATAAACTATTATGCTTCTAGTTCTAGTTCTGGTAGCACTTATGGAATAACTGAAGATGAATGGACAGTTATATGTAATTTAAATGAAATGTTACAAGTTTTTTATGATGCTACCATGTTATTATCTGGCTGTTATTATCCAACCATTACTTTAGCTGCTTTACAAATTTTAAATATTCAAAATTTTTTTGATAAATATCGTTTGGATGCTACTTTTGGACCTATGGTTTTTGAAATGGAGAGCAAATTTAATAAGTATTTTAGGCCTATTCCTCATATTTTTGGTTTGAGGGTTCTTATTGATCCATGCTTGAAGGATATTGGCCTTCGAAGTTTGTTACAGTCATTGTATGGTGGACAGGTTATAGACTTAGATGATGGAACCACCCTGAATGCTACTACTCATCATTTACTTATTAGAAATTATTTTCAAACTTTATATGATGAGTATGCAGCTAGACATGGTGTAGCTGCACAACAGTCTGCAGCTTCGGTTTCTTCGAGCTCATCCCGAGCCCGAGGTAAAAGTGTAAGTTTTGATAGGTATGCAATGGTAGCCGAGCTAACTGGTGGATCTGGACTTGGATCGTCATCATCGGAGGTTTCTGAAATAGATGAATATTTTTCTGCTTCTTTAGTTAGATGTCAAGGAAATGCTTTAGATATTTTGCAATGGTGGAAAGTATATGGATCAGTTTCATATCCTATACTTTCCACCATGGTTCGTGACTTACTAACAGTGCAGGTTTCGACGGTAGCTTCGGAATCCGCCTTCAGCACAGCAGGTCGTTTGATCGACGATCACAGGACATGCTTGGATCCATATACTGTACAAGCGGTGATGTGCCTACAAGATTGGTGGAGGTACGAGAAGCGAACGCAAGGCATCGATCGGATGGCTGGAATTGAAGATAAATTTGAAGAATTGGGACTAGCAGATAGATATAAAGAATAGATTGTAGTTTTTATATCTTAGCTTACAATTTGTAAAGAATTATTTTGGAAATAATTGCAAATGATAGTGATATAGGTGAGTAGGTGCCAACCTAGTTGGGATTTACTTATCTATTGTGATGCGATTAATTCCAAAATAAATTTGTACTTGTAATTTGTAACTGATTTATCAATTATTAATAAAGAATATGTTTTTATCATTTCTTATTTGTAATTTATGTCATTTTAAGTAATTAATAAAATTATTGTTTTTGTTATTTAGACTGTGTTTTTTGGTTGCAGGTCAGTCGACCGCGAACTTGAGGCCGGTCGATCGAATCCGTGCACATTACAGTGTTCAGAAAAACACTGTTCGGGTCGGTCGACCGGCCAAGCCTATGCGATCGACTGAATTCATGTATGGAACAGGGTCTTAGAACCATGTTCTAGTATGTCGACCGACCATGTTTTGCGGTCGACCGAATGTGTGCTGGGTTACAGGGTGGAATTTCGATCTTCTGGCCGGTCGACCGAAACATCATGTGCGGTCAACTGCGATGCGGTTTGGGGCCAGATTCATTTTCCTGACCTGTTTTGGATTCCTATTTGATATAAATAGGAACATGACGTTTTCTAGGGTAAGGAGAGATTAAGAGCTGAGATCTGAGCATTGTTTTGAGCACTTTGAAAGGGAGAATTTGTGAGGGACTTGAGAGTTTTGTTTAGGGTTAAATTTGTGAGATTATTGAGTGGTTGTAATCTCTATTTGTACTCTCTCTATTGGTGAAATCTTCCCCTCCTTGCCCCGTGGACGTAGGCACATTGCCGAACCACGTAAATTTGATGTCTTGCTTGTGTGGTGCTTGTTTTTTGGGTGGTTGATTTGTTCTCCTATCTTGTTTGTGACTCTGATTCCGTTGCGCACGACAATATAATCATTACAATAGATATTTAATATGTATTAGTTCTAATACCTCTTTCCAATGCTTTACTTTATATATCTTTTGCCCTTCGAGTTAGCTTCATCATTTTCTATTTACAAAAAGAATTTCGAACATGCAACTAGTACATCCACGCGCAAAGCACGTGCATTATACTAGTATATAATAAATTTCTATATTTTATTGTAAAGTGCTTTATATATTAATGGTTATATATTCGGTGTATTTTAAACTAGATGTTAACCAATTTTAGACACTAATACGCGGCAACGCGCGGATCAATTTTGCTCGCTATATCTAACCAAGGACCTTTTTAGCGAAAGATACAATAAAATTTATTTTGCCATACATTACCATAACATAGTACATGTAATTTTCACAAAATTGCTGCTTAACATTATTCACTACTTCACCATAATAGAATACATCATCGCAGCAATGCACACAAAACACAATCAAACATATCACAAATCTAGAAACACCAAGCAACCCCAAAACTATGAGACATTAGGGCAAAATCCACATTCTACATGTTAGGGCTCCACACAATATCATCTTGAGGGAGAAAGTGGCACACTGGAACTGTCCCAGGCTTGACCTTGAGCCCCCTCAAGTACCTCACCGGATCTGGTCCAGCCAATGCTGTATGGCATGCCGCCACTGCCTCCACTGTCGTCCCATCCTCGCCCACCATCGACACCTGATACGCCGTTAAACCCTGCACCGTGTGGCAATAAAACACTGCATACGGATATTTTCTAGCATGACAGGCCACAAAATTCGATCCAGACATCTTCTTCACGCGTGATAGCACGTATTCTTGATCCGGCGCACCTTCTTTCGACATGACAGTCGATAGGGCTGAAACATGACGGGTACCGAGAGTGGATGTGGCATATTCGACCATAGATTCAAGGGACGTAGCACAGTACTTGTTCTCTTCGGCTATAGCAGGCTTTTCGCCACTCGTAGTTAGGCGTTTCTGTGGATTGGGCGGCTTGCACAGAGTTGGGGTTTACGGAGAAGTGGGTGAGGATGGCAGGCAGCGAAGCGGATGAAAAGGGAATGGTGGTGGCGGCTTGCCGGGATAGGAAGGTGGCTCCGGAGCCGGTGGTGGTTCTCATGAAGTGCATCTTCACTTTTGTGCCGGAGAGCATGTCCTTCTCCAGGACTGGACGGTATCCAAAACTACTGGAGGCATGATATCCTTCGATTTTCACTGCATAAAGGTGACAAAAGAAGAAAAAGATTATGATACTTTAAGATCTAATGGATATGTACTGAACTCTGCGATAGAAATATATGAAAGCAGTGTTGTTAAGAGCCCTGTCTGGTTATGAAATCAGTTTTAAGTTAGTTTAAGCAAAAACCTCGACCAGAACTTAAAATTGGTCTTGTTAGACGTGCTTTTGGCCAAAGATCTTGTGGTCTAGAACTGAACTGGTTTAGGTCACAACTAATTTAGAATGGAGTTGCAAATTAGGGGGTGTTTGGTTGCATTGTTTCTGAGAAATGTTTTCTCAAAAGTACTAACGCATGACATTTATGTAATTAAGAGTTTTCTATACATTTCTATTAAGTGTGTTTGGCTCCAAAAAAATTTACAGAAATGTTTTCTGTAAAGTACAGAAAAGTACCAAATTTTATGGAAATTGATTTCCTTCTAAAATGGGAGGAAATCTCTTGGAAATCTGACGCATTCATTATTTAAATAATAAAACTCATTAACTCTTTTCTACAAAGTTCTCACTTTTCTATAAAGTTGGTGGTGTTTGGTTACATTTCTATAAATTATAGGAAATGTTGCTATTTTCCCAAAAGTTATTTCTTATTTTCTTGTTTTGAACCAAACAAGCACAATACAAAAAATAAGAAAATTTGTACTTTTTAACTTCTCAAAACTTTTCCGATAATTTTTTTAAGAAATACAAAGAAATCAAATTTGGAATGAAAAACGTTTCCTATAATATATTAAAATATAACCAAACACCCCTTACTCTCTAGGACACATGATTTATAATAGAAATAACGCAAAGGGATATGTTTCTTAACAGAATGTGTAGGAGGCTATGGATGTGTCGCATATTATTTTGCAGGTGCACCCCAAGAGTGACTCTTCGACGCTTTTACATTCTGGTGGTTTGTTTGTTTAAAAATATGGGTTTCTTCCTAAAAACCATTTTAAAATTAGGGTAATTATAAGAAAACCACCTTTTGTTTTTAATTTATACGTAAATTATCTTTGAAGTTGGTTTTTGTTGCAATTAACCACCTCCCAGTCAAAATTTTTACTAAAACCTCAACATTATCATTGAAAAATGCATATTCAACGCATGCGACTCTTTTTTTAGTGTTTAGGTCTTATAAGGATACAACTCACCTAACTTGAACTTGAATTTTTAAACTTATTTTTGGTTTTTAGTGAAAATTTGGCTAGGAGGTAGTTAATTGTAATAAAAAACTAATTTAAAGGTGGTTTATGTACAATTTAAAAATAAAAGGTGATTTTCATATAATTGCCTAGTTTAAAGGTGGTTTCTTTGGGGGGGGGGGACCCCTAAAATTAATTTTTCATTCTATGAGGGTAACTGGGTCAAATTATTTAACTCAGGGGTCTATCTGCAAAATTTAAAACTAGAGAGACTGTGAGAGTTCAAAAACATCAATGACAAGGGGTTATATCGGTAATTAACCCTTAAAAATGATAGTTGTTGCAATATATTTAGGGGTGTTTGTTTCATTTTTTTGGAATATAGGGTGGATTTCAAGTTTTGGGATGTAAAAAGTACTTTTTTTGAGTTTTGGGATTCCATAAACTTTGTTTGTTTCAAAATTAATTTTGGGATATTGAATCCCTAAATTATAAAAAAAAATATATTTTTTTAGGATTTGTGAAATCTTTCCTTTTGTTTCAACATTTTTTTGGGATATAAGGTGGATTACAAGTTTTGAGGGTTTTAGAATTCCATAAATAATGTTTGTTTCAAAACCAATTTTGGGATATTGAATCCCCAAATTATAAAAAACTATTATATTTTAAAATTTGTGAAATCCTATTTTTGAGAGAGGATTTGGGTTGGTTATTGCACCTATATATTATTAAAAACAATTATATTATATTATATTAGCATGCTATACTATACAATAATTAATATAATATAAAATTAATATATTATATATAATATTATAATAATATAATATTTAATATAATACATCTATTCCTCTTTTAAAATTTGTGAAATCCTATTTTTGAGAGAGGATTTGGGTTGGTTATTGCACCTATATATTATTAAAAACAATTATATTATATTATATTAGCATGCTATACTATACAATAATTAATATAATATAAAATTAATATATTATATAATATTATAATAATATAATATTTAATATAATACATCTATTCCTCATAGGAGGATCCAAGAATCACTGTTCATGCTGTAGTAAATGCTGTAGTAAATTACTGTAGCATTATATATATATATATATATATGTATATATATATATATATATATATATATATATATATATTATATAATATTATAATAATATAATATTTAATATAATACATCTATTCCTCATAGGAGGATCCAAGAATCACTGTTCATGCTGTAGTAAATGCTGTAGTAAATTACTGTAGCATTATATATATATATATATATATGTATATATATATATATATATATATATATATATATATA